AGCAGCGTGAAGGTGAGACCCCCCAAAACTTCCCGGACCCTTGAGACCCCCCCCGGACCCCTCCCAAAACCCCCCGGGACCCCCGAGGCCACCCTGGTACACCTGAGATCCTCCAGGACCTCTCCCAAGCTCCCTGGCCCTCCAAAACTCCCCTGGGACCACCCCAAAACCCCCAAAATGTCCCAGGACCCTCAAACCTGCCCCAGGACCCCAAACTCGAGGCTTGGGACCCCAAAAACAGAGCTGTGAATCCAAAATGGGACCCAGGACCCCAAAATGGGAGCTGTGAACCCAAAGCAGGAGACAGGTTTGGGTTGAGAGCCCCGGTTTTGGGGTGCTGTGTCCATTGTGGGTTGGCAGTCCCAGTTTTGGGGTCTGTGTTGGGTTTGGGTTGAGAGCTCTGGTTTTGGGGTCCTGTGTCAGTTTTGGGTTGGCAGCCCCGGTTTTGGGATCCCATGCCAGTTTTGGGATCCCGTGCCAGTTTTGGGATCCCGTGCCAGTTTTGGGATCCCGTGCCAGTTTTGGGATCCCGTGCCAGTTTTGGGATCCCGTGCCAGTTTTGGGATCCCGTGCCAGTTTTGGGATCCCGTGCCAGTTTTGGGATCCCGTGCCAGTTTTGGGATCCCGTGCCAGTTTTGGGATCCCGTGCCAGTTTTGGGATCCCGTGCCAGTTTTGGGATCCCGTGCCAGTTTTGGGATCCCGTGCCAGTTTTGGGATCCCGTGCCAGTTTTGGGATCCCGTGCCAGTTTTGGGATCCCGTGCCAGTTTTGGGATCCCGTGCCAGTTTTGGGATCCCGTGCCAGTTTTGGGATCCCGTGCCAGTTTTGGGATCCCGTGCCAGTTTTGGGATCCCGTGCCAGTTTTGGGATCCCGTGCCAGTTTTGGGATCCCGTGCCAGTTTTGGGATCCCGTGCCAGTTTTGGGATCCCATGCCAGTTTTGGGTTGGCAGCCCCAGTTTTGGGGTCCATATCACTTTTGGGTTGAGAGCCCCGGTTTTGGGGTCCATGTCCAGTTTGGGTTGGCAGCCCTGGTTTTGGGGTCCTGTGTCAGCTTTGGGTTAAGAGCCCGGTTTTGGGGTCCTGTGTCAGCTTTGGGTTAAGAGCCCGGTTTTGGGGTCCTGTGTCAGTTTTGGGTTAAGAGCCCTGTTTTGGGGTGCTGTGTCTATTGTGGGTTGGCAGCCTCAGTTTTGGGGTCCGCTCAGTTTTGGGGTCCATGTCAGTTTTGGATTGAGAGCCCCAGTTGTGGGGTCCGTGTCTGGTTTTGGTTGAGTGCCCTGATTGTGGGGTCCATGTCAGTTTTGGGTTGAGTCCCAGTTTTGGGATCCCATGTCCGGTTTGGGTTGGCAGCCCTGGTTTTGGGTTCCGGTTGGTTTTGGGTTCCATATCACATTTGGGTTGAGAACCCCAGTTTTGGGGTCCATGTCAATTTTGGGTTGGCAGCCCCGGTTTTGGGATCCCGTGCCAGTTTTGGGATCCCATGTCCGGTTTGGGTTGGCAGCCCTGGTTTTGGTTTCCAGTTGGTTTTGGGGTCCATGTCAGTTTTGGGTTGAGAACCCCAGTTTTGGGGTCCATGTCTGGTTTCAGTTGAGTGCCCCGGTTTTGGGGTCCATGTCAATTTTGGGTTGGCAGCCCCAGTTTTGGGGTCCATGTCTGGTTTCAGTTGAGCGCCCAGTTTTGGGGTCCATGTCCGGTTTGGGTTGGCAGCCCTGGTTTTGGGGTTCATGTCTGGTTTTGGGTTGAGAGCCCCAGTTTTGGGGTCCATGTCCGGTTTGGGTTGGCAGCCCTGGTTTTGGTTTCCAGTTGGTTTTGGGGTCCATGTCAATTTTGGGTTGGCAGCCCCGGTTTTGGGGTCCATGTCAATTTTGGGTTGGCAGCCCCGGTTTTGGGATCTCGTGCCAGTTTTGGGATCCCGTGCCAGTTTTGGGTTGGCAGCCCCGGCTCTGGGGTCCGTCGGTTTTGGGGACGCAGTCCCAGGTGTGACCCCGCTCCCTCCGCAGGCCCCGAGGGCTGTAACATCTTCATCTACCACCTGCCCCAGGAGTTCGCCGACACCGAGATCCTGCAGATGTTCCTCCCCTTCGGCAACGTCATCTCCGCCAAGGTCTTCGTGGACAGGGCCACCAACCAGAGCAAGTGCTTCGGTAGGGACACGGGACACTGGGGACAGTGGGGACAACGGGGACAACGGGGACAATGGGAACGTTGGGGGCAATGGGGACAATGGGGACAACGGGGACAATGGGAACATCGGGGGCAATGGGGACAACGGGGACATTGGGGGCAATGGGGACAACGGGGACACTGGGGACAATGGGGATAGTGAGAATAATGGGATATGGGGATATTGGGGACATCGGGGACATCGGGGACAATGGGGATAGTGAGGATAATGGGATATGGGATATGGGGACATTGGGGACATCGGGGACTATGGGAATATTGGGGACAAGGGGGACATCGGGGACAATGGGGATAGTGAGGATAATGGGATATGGGATATGGGGACATTGGGGACATCAGGGACTATGGGAACATTGGGGACATTGGGGACTATGGGGATATTGGGGACAAGGGGGACATTGGGGACAATGGGGATAGTGAAGATAATGGCATATGGGATATGGGGACATTGGGGACATCAGGGACTATGGGAACATTGGGGACATTGGGGACTATGGGGACATTGGGGATATGGGGGACAGCGGGGATATTGGGGACAATGGGGGTATTGCAGACATGGGGACATTGGGACATTGAGATATGGGATAGGCAATGTGGGACATAGGGGCACTGGGGACATTAGGGACAACGGGGACATTGGGAATAGTGGGGATAATGGGACATGGGATATGGGGACGTCAGGGACAACGGGGACAATGGGGAAAATGGGGACATCGGGGACATTGAGGATAATGGGATATGGGGACAATGGGGACACGGGTATAATGGGATATGGATGTGGGCTATGGGGACATGAGGACATCAGGGACATCAGGGACATGGGGGGCATTAGGGACACTGGGGACACGGGACATCATGGCCAGGGACACCATTAGCTGATGTCCCTGATGTCCCCAATGTCCCCCCATCCCCAATGTCCCCAATGACCCCTCTGCCCCTGCCCCAAATGTCTCCATTGTCTCCCAATGTCTCCTTTATCCCCATGTCCCCACGATGTCCCCACATCCTCCGTGTCCTCCATGTCCCTATGACGTCCCCACATCCTCCGTGTCCTCCATGTCCCCATGATGTCCCCACATCCTCCGTGTCCTCCATGTCCCCATGATGTCCCCACATCCTCCGTGTCCTCCATGTCCCTATGACCTCCCCACATCCTCCGTGTCCTCCATGTCCCCATGATGTCCCCACATCCTCCGTGTCCTCCATGTCCCCATAATGTCCCCACATCCTCCGTGTCCCCATGATGTCCCCACACCCTCCGTGTCCTCCATGTCCCTGTGATGTCCCCACATCCTCCGTGTCCTCCATGTCCCCGTGATGTCCCCATGCCCCCATATGCTGCTGTGCCCATGATGTCCCCACACCTTCCCAATGTCCCCAACGTCCCCGATGTCCCCGACGTCCCCGCAGGCTTCGTGAGCTTTGACAACCCCGCGAGCGCCCAGGCCGCCATCCAGGCCATGAACGGTTTCCAGATCGGGATGAAGCGGCTCAAGGTGCAGCTCAAGAGGCCCAAAGACGCCAACAGGCCCTACTGAGCCCGGTGAGACCCCCGGGACCCCCGGGATACCCCCATGACACCCCCATGATACCCCCCGGACAACCTGGGACAGCCTCAGAACCCCCTGGGACACCCCTGGGACACCCCCAGGACCACCTGGGACAGCCTCAGAACCCCCTAGGACACCCCCGGGACACCCCTGGGACACCCCCATGATCCCCGGGACACCCTCAGGACCCCCTGGGACACCCCCAGGACCACCTGGGACAGCCTCGGGACCCCCTGGGACAGGGATAGCCCTGGCACACCCCCAGGACCACCTGGGACACCCCCAGGGACACCTTGGGACCCCCCAGGACACCCCCGGGACCCCTGGGACACTCCAGGACACCTCTGGGACACCCTCAGGACACCCCCAGGGACACCCTGGGACTCCCAGAACAGCCCTGGGACACCCCGGGGACCCTCTGGAACTCTCAGGACACTCTGGAACCCCCCTGGAACCTCTCCAGGGCTGGAAAACCCTCGGGGATCCCCTCGAGACCCCCCCGGACCTCCCCCCAGAACTTCCCTGGGCCCCCCATGACCCCACCAGGCTGGGAACCCCCTGAGCCCCCCAAGACCCCCCCAACCCCCGGGTTGGGATGTGCCCCCATTGGGATCTGGAGGGTCCCCGGGATTTTGGGGGGCTGGAAATACCCCAGGGGGGAATTTGGGGTGTCCCCCCTTGGGATTTGGGGTGTCCAGGGTTTGGGGGGGGCAGGAAGTGCCCCCCAAACTCTGTTTAACTCTCCCCCCCATCCCCAAATTTTCCCTCCCCAGGTCTTCTCTGGGGGGTCCTGGGGGTCTTTGGGGGTCCCAAAGGGGGGGACACGGCCCCCCCAGTGTCCTCCCGGGGGCGCAGCGGGACCCCAACACTGCCACTGCCACCCGCTCCGCCCACAACCTGCCTCAGTTTCCCCTCGGGATGGGCCTGCACTGGGATGGGCCGGGACTGGGATTGGGATGGACTGGGACTGGGATAAACTGGGACTGGGATGGACTGGGAATGGGATGGACTGGAAATGGGATGGACTGGGAATGGGATGGACTGGTACTGAGATGCTCCAATACTGGGATAAACTGGGACTGGGATGGATTGGCACTGGGATAAACTGGCACTGAGATAGACTGGCACTGGGATAGACTGGCACTGGGATAAACTGGCACTGGGATTGGCTGATACTGGGATATTCAGATTTATTTGCATAACACATCCATTCAATAATAGAATTGCATCAGTTGCAAACTTTCCTACCAACTTCTGTACTGGTTCTAGCATAATTTAAAGCATGAAAAAGAGGGGAGTTCCTGGGATAGACTGGCACTGGGATAGACTGGGAATGGGATGGACTGGTACTGAGATGCTCCAATACTGGGATAAACTGGGACTGGGATGGATTGGCACTGGGATAGACTGGCACTGGGATAGACTGGGAATGGGATGGACTGGTACTGAGATGCTCCAATACTGGGATAAACTGGTAGTGGGATGGACTGGGACTGGGATAAACTGGCACTGGGATAAACTGGGACTGGGATGGACTGGTACTGAGATGCTCCAATACTGGCTTAAACTGGTAGTGGGATGGATTGGCACTGGGATAGACTGGCACTGGGATTGGCTGATACTGGGATAGACTGGGACTGGGATAGACTGGGACTGGGATGGATGGGCACTGGGCTGTTCCATCACTCCGATGGTCCCACACTGGGATGGTCCCACACTGGGATGGTCCCACACTGGGATGGTCCCACACCGGAATGGTCCCACACTGGGATGGTCCCACACTGGGATGGTCCCACACTGGGATGCTCCAGCCCCGCTCTGGTCCAGCACCGGGATGCTCCATACTGGGATGTTCTGACACTGGGACGCTCTGGGACCAGGATGCTCCGATACCGGAATGTTCCACCACGGGGATGCTCTGATACTGGGACGATCCCACAACAGCAGATCCCACAGCAGATCCCACAGCAGAGGATCCCAGAGCAGAGGATCCCACAGCGGGAAATTCCACAACAGGATGGTCCCACAGCAGATCCCAGAGCAGATCCCACAACAGGATGGTCCCACAGCAGGAGATCCTACAGTGGGATGACCCCACAGCAGATCCCACAGCAGGATGGTCCCACAGCAGATCCCAGAGCAGATCCCACAGCAGCAGATCCCACAACAGGATGATCCCACAGCAGATCCCAGAGCAGCAGATCCCACAACAGGATGGTCGCAGAGCAGATCCCAGAGCAGATCCCACAGCAGGATGGTCCCACAGGAGATCCCACAGCAGGACAGTCCCACAGCAGATCCCAGAGCAGAGGATCCCAGAGCAGATCCCACAGCAGGATGGTCCCACAGCAGATCCCAGAGCAGGAGATCCCACAGTGGGATGATCCCACAGCAGATCCCACAGCAGGACGGTCTCACAGCAGGATGCTCCAGCCCTGGGATGATCCCACACCAGGATGCTCCAATCCCAGAACGTTCCACCCCGGGGATGCTCCGAGGCCAGAGGGATCCAGGACCGGAATGTTCCCACACCAGAACGTTCCATCAGCTGCTCCAACGCTGGAACGATCCGAGCCCGGAGCGCCCGGCCGGGGATGTTTCAGCACCGGAACGCCCTGACCCAGGATGTCCCCGCTCCTCTGGGACGTCCCCGTTCCGCAATGTCCCCAATTTTTTGGGATGTCCCCACCAGGAGCCGCATGGATCACGGGAATTCCTGGGAACTCCAAACCAGCCAAATGCAGGGGACGCTGGGGGACGCCAGGAGCGGGGACAGGGACACGGACACGGACACGGACACAGACAGGGACATGGACACGGACACGGACACGGACACACAGCTCCCAAACCCCAAATGATCCCAAATCCCAGATCCGGGGGGGGCCGGCCCCCACCAGCCAAACCGGGGCCGTGTCCAGCCCGGAGCCCCCCAGGACCCCAGACCCCAACATCCCCAAACCAGTGCCCCCAAACTGGGCCAGTGCCCCCAAACTGGGCCAGTGCCCCCAAACCAGTGCCCCCAGCCCCCCCAAACTGGGACAGTGACCCCAAACTGGGCCAGTGCCCCCAAACCAGTGCCCCCAGCCCCCCCAAACTGGGACAGTGACCCCAAACTGGGCCAGTGCCCCCAAACCAGTGCCCCCAGCCCCCCCAAACTGGGACAGTGACCCCAAACTGGGCCAGTGCCCCCAAACCAGTGCCCCCAGCCCCCCCAAACTGGGACAGTGACCCCAAACTGGGCCAGTGCCCCCAAACCAGTGCCCCCAGCCCCCCCAAACTGGGACAGTGACCCCAAACTGGGCCAGTGCCCCCAAACCAGTGCCCCCAGCCCCCCCAAACTGGGACAGTGACCCCAAACTGGGCCAGTGCCCCCAAACCAGTGCCCCCAGCCCCCCCAAACTGGGACAGTGACCCCAAACTGGGCCAGTGCCCCCAAACCAGTGCCCCCAGCCCCCCCAAACTGGGACAGTGACCCCAAACTGGGCCAGTGCCCCCAAACCAGTGCCCCCAGCCCCCCCAAACTGGGACAGTGACCCCAAACTGGGCCAGTGCCCCCAAACCAGTGCCCCCAGCCCCCCCAAACTGGGACAGTGACCCCAAACTGGGCCAGTGCCCCCAAACCAGTGCCCCCAGCCCCCCCAAACTGGGACAGTGACCCCAAACTGGGCCAGTGCCCCCAAACCAGTGCCCCCAGCCCCCCCAAACTGGGACAGTGACCCCAAACTGGGCCAGTGCCCCCAAACCAGTGCCCCCAGCCCCCCCAAACTGGGACAGTGACCCCAAACTGGGCCAGTGCCCCCAAACCAGTGCCCCCAGCCCCCCCAAACTGGGACAGTGACCCCAAACTGGGCCAGTGCCCCCAAACCAGTGCCCCCAGCCCCCCCAAACTGGGACAGTGACCCCAAACTGGGCCAGTGCCCCCAAACCAGTGCCCCCAGCCCCCCCAAACTGGGACAGTGACCCCAAACTGGGCCAGTGCCCCCAAACCAGTGCCCCCAGCCCCCCCAAACTGGGACAGTGACCCCAAACTGGGCCAGTGCCCCCAAACCAGTGCCCCCAGCCCCCCCAAACTGGGACAGTGACCCCAAACTGGGCCAGTGCCCCCAAACCAGTGCCCCCAGCCCCCCCAAACTGGGACAGTGACCCCAAACTGGGCCAGTGCCCCCAAACCAGTGCCCCCAGCCCCCCCAAACTGGGACAGTGACCCCAAACTGGGCCAGTGCCCCCAAACCAGTGCCCCCAGCCCCCCCAAACTGGGACAGTGACCCCAAACTGGGCCAGTGCCCCCAAACCAGTGCCCCCAGCCCCCCCAAACTGGGACAGTGACCCCAAACTGGGCCAGTGCCCCCAAACCAGTGCCCCCAGCCCCCCCAAACTGGGACAGTGACCCCAAACTGGGCCAGTGCCCCCAAACCAGTGCCCCCAGCCCCCCCAAACTGGGACAGTGACCCCAAACTGGGCCAGTGCCCCCAAACCAGTGCCCCCAGCCCCCCCAAACTGGGACAGTGACCCCAAACTGGGCCAGTGCCCCCAAACCAGTGCCCCCAGCCCCCCCAAACTGGGACAGTGACCCCAAACTGGGCCAGTGCCCCCAAACCAGTGCCCCCAGCCCCCCCAAACTGGGACAGTGACCCCAAACTGGGCCAGTGCCCCCAAACCAGTGCCCCCAGCCCCCCCAAACTGGGACAGTGACCCCAAACTGGGCCAGTGCCCCCAAACCAGTGCCCCCAGCCCCCCCAAACTGGGACAGTGACCCCAAACTGGGCCAGTGCCCCCAAACCAGTGCCCCCAGCCCCCCCAAACTGGGACAGTGACCCCAAACTGGGCCAGTGCCCCCAAACCAGTGCCCCCAGCCCCCCCAAACTGGGACAGTGACCCCAAACTGGGCCAGTGCCCCCAAACCAGTGCCCCCAGCCCCCCCAAACTGGGACAGTGACCCCAAACTGGGCCAGTGCCCCCAAACCAGTGCCCCCAGCCCCCCCAAACTGGGACAGT